TACTCATAGCATTATTCGACTACACAATATTTGATTTGATTTGACAGTATATAAATATTTAGGATAATTCTGATGTATACAATACATTATATTCCCCTCACATAGAGGGATCCACGAATATTTTATTATATATGGGATCCTCCATGTGAGGGGAGTGTAATAATGTACCCATAGCACTTCCCAAATATTTACGGCTCAAACTTCCAAAATAGCTCATCTAAAACAATAATTTAAATACTAATCTATAATTTATAATTATATTAAAACATCACATTAATGGAGAATCATTTTTTGGGTAATTTTAACTCCATACAATTCAATTAGGCCCTATTTGATTGGGGTCATTTTCCATCTTTTTTGGCGTTTGATTGCATTTTTTTTTCATGGAATTCATTTCCATGTTTTCCTCACACGTGTGCATTTTTCTTGTTTTGGTAGAAAATCAATTATCACACCAAAATGGTGAGGTTTCAGTGAGAATTGGTTTTCTACCTTTTTTTTTTTTTTTGGCAGTGAGAACAAATTCTAGGAACAATTCTAAAAAGATGATATCCCTTAAATTAACAATTTTAATGTAAAAACAAAGCTAAACGAACACCAAAATGCAAATGATTTTCAAATCTTTTTTTTTTGGCAATAGAAACAAATTCTAGGACCAATTGTAGAAGTAAATATCCCTTAAATTTACAGTTTTCATGAAAAATAAAGTCAAACAAACACCAAAAGACATTTTTATTTCAACATTTTTCAAGTGAAAAATTATATCAATCAAATACAATAATTGACAATTCTCAATAAAATAAATTCTGGACAATTCAATTCCTTGAAATTCGTTTTCTTTCCATTTTCCCAAATTTCATCTTTGCAATCACACGGACATTTAGGGTGTGTTTGATTACATTTATTTTCTATGAAAAATATCAGTTTTCCACCCAAATTCCTACTTGAGGTGTTTGATTGCTAATTTTTTCTATGGAAAACATTTTTCAACTTTTGAAAATATGTCTAATTTTCCTTGTTTTTAAGGAAAACATTTTTCTTTTTGTGGAGGTGGTTTTTATTTTCCACAAAAGAAGGAAAATATTTTTTTTCTAGGTGATATTTTTCATGCTAATCAAACACACTTTTAATTTAATAATATCGTACCTTTTGTTTTTCAATATTTAATAAATACTACAAAATTATTGTCATTTATGAAATTTGTATTATTAATTCTCAATTAATTAACATTCATATTAGTTTAGATTCAATGAATTTTCACTTAATGAATCTTGAATTACATGAATCTAGAGTTATTTATTCACATTCAAGTATCTGAAAATTTTAAAAAGTGTTTAAATTTATGTATTAACAATTAATTTTTATGTATCAAATGTAATATAAAAAGATTGCTTATTTATAATATTTTATCATTACAACAAATTTTAATCATAAAAATTGAGTTTTAAGAGTACAATTTGAATACGATTTTATTTTCTTAAATTTCTATGGTAAATCTTATTTTCTTTTATTCGTCAGAGAATTATTAAATCCTCCAACAAATTGGTATCACATATTTCTTTTCCATCACTTTTATAGTATTTTAAAATAACGTGTATTGTATGTTTAACTTTGACTAATATATTAAAATATCATATCAATGAAGAATCATTTTTGGACGATTTTAACCCTCCTACAAAATTCATATATGCAATAAATACTACAAAATTGTTGTCATTTATGAAATTTGTGTTACTAATTCTCGTTTAATTAACATTCACATTAATCTAGATTAAATAAATTTTTATTTGATGAATCTTGAATTACATAATCTAGAGTATGTTATAGATGAATTTATTCATATTTATATATCTGAAAATTTTAATGAGTGTTTAAATTTATATATTAACAATTAATTTTTATTTATCAAATGTAATATAAAAAGATTGTTAATTTATCGTATTTCATCATTACAAAAAATTTGGATCATAGAAATTGAGTTTTGATAGTACAATTTGAGTGCAATTTTCTTCTTTTAGATTTCTATGCTAAATTTTTTTTTCTTTATTTCGTCTGAGGCTCATCAAATCTTCCAACAAATTGGTATCATAAATTACTTTTACATCACTTATAAAGTTTTTCAAAATAACGTACAATGTACGTTCAACTTTAACTAGTATTCTAAAAAGTCCATCTAAGCAATGTCAAGGAGATGTCTAAGCTCGAGACTCGAGCAAAATGCTACGATTTGACAATGAGCACCTAGTGGCGCTATATTAATTTCTTTTTTTTTCAAAATTTTAAATGATTTTATTAACAAAAATTACAATGAAAATATGTTAAAAATTTTCAAATAGGACTTAAAGGTGAAATTATGAAAAATATTACAACTTTTGCATTTCGAAATTTTGAAAATTATATAATTAACTAATTGTAAAAATTGTTAAGTAAATATAGTATTTTATAATTTTAGATGTTTGATATGTATTATTTTGATTATTAAACAATTTTGAAAATGATTAAAAATTTAAAATAGTATTAAAATATCTCTTCCCCTCACTCTCCTTTCCCAAATATGAACCTTGAGTCATCAAAGCCTTTGTGACTCAAAGTGTTTTTTTATGCCTAAGTCTCATCAGAATCGTAAAGCTAGAAACCTAACATCACGTCTAACTCTATTTTACGCTCTTTAGAATACTGGTAAATACAATATTTTATTCCCTTGTATTGATTAAAGGCTTGACCCAATTACGGACTTGATTTTTGTTTTTACTTTTGATTCTTGTAGAATAAATTTTTGAAGAAGTTATTTAAATTTTTGTTGGCAAACTAATTTTCAAAAGAGTTTTCTATTGCAGAAACACTTTTAGAGAAAGTTACAATAGATCAACTTCCTTAAGAAACTCTTATAATTAGAAGATATACTTTTATAAAATTTGTCATGGTATGGGGTTTATATTTTTTCCAGGTTTTTGGTTGGTTGAAATTTGATTTTTTTTATTTTAATTATTTTATGAAATAAAAATATAAATTTACGATTTTACCCTTATCTATTTTGTTAGAAAATGGTAATTTTTTTTTATTTTTACTTTGGCGGTCAACGGATGGCATCTTGAATGGAAACTGTCCAAAAGATCTCACTTGCAACGTTTGAAAATGTTGTGGGTGACAGCTGCAACAAATCAAAAGTTTGAGAAAAGTCTGCTAGTACTTCAAATATTTGAGATTTTCGCTGCAATCATTCTATAAAAAATTATCGAATCACGCAATATCAAGAAAAATTATTCTTGAAATACTACTCAAAAAAATAATAAAGAAGAGATTTTACCAATATTCTTCTTTGTTCACGTAGCAATTTTACATGATTAAATCGTTGGTTATAGTTGAATAAGAAGAGCAATTAATTGTGAACTTGCTATCCAAATTTCATGACAATCATGCCATGGAACATTGAGATATCAACATTCGATGACAATTGCACATTTCGGACAAAAAAAAAAAAGATTGTTGTTGTTTTTGGATTTCTCACTCGATTTGAGTTTCTACTCTATTTTCTTCACAATTGATCACATATATCTAATCGAGTTATCAACTAAAAGTCTCATTGGAACTCTTCTTATTCTTCCTTTTCTTTACCTTCATGCGCTAGGAATGAAAATATAACGTGCATACAGGGCCGACCCTTGGGCCAAGCCACCTAGGCCACCGCCTAGGGCCTCCAAATTTTGGCTTGGGCCTAGGGCCTCAAATTTCATATTAGATCCAATTCCCAAAATAAGAAAAATGGTTTGGGGCCTTTGGGCTTGGAGTCTTGGACCAATGGAATTAAATTTCTTTGGAGACTTGGAGTCTATAACATACACAATAAATCGCCCCAGCTGGTTTTATCTTTTAAATTCGACATTTTCAACTTCCTCTAATCCTCCGCTTCGGTGAATCCAGAATTTTCCAGGGCCTCCACTCCAAGCTTCCAGGTTCCAGACTTTCGGGCTTCCAGGGACTAGCGCCAACGGACGAAAATTTGAAATCTAATGCGAAAACCTCAATTTCTCTGCCTCTCGCAGACTCGCACGCCGGATTCATTTTTTATATCTTGTCAGGTCCTTTGTTTTGGTAAGTAAATTGGATGTCCAACTCGTATATCTGAATTTCTGATTATTAATCCTATGGGCTATGGTGGTAGTTTCAAGTTTATTCAAATCTCAAAATGGTGATTGGTGAAACCGTGAAAAAGGGATGAAAAATTGTTTTTTTTATTTGTTTTACTCTTAATAATTAGTGTAAAGAATTGTTTGACTCTTGGTTCAGTTGGTTAAACTCCTTAGTTTGAAATCAGTTTAATGAGTTAGAAAATCAGTTAGAGCCTCTTACATTCTAACATATTTTTTGGTAGTAGTTTTAACTAAATATTAGATATATTTTCTTGTATATCTCTAGGTTCCCATGTCTATAAATAGGAACAAGGCTGTTAACGTGAATGGATGAGCAAGAGGGGGATATTCTGTAGTGTGAGAAAGAAAGTAAGATTGAGAGAAAGTTCTCTGTATGCAATCTTTGTAACTTTCTGTGAGAATTTTCTGTGAGAAGTTTATGGTGTATTCTCGATTGAGTGGTAAGTAGTAATGTTTTGTGTAATAAGCACTATGTAATTTCTTCTCTTTTATGGCATATTGACTGGGGTAAATTCCCTGAAAGTGGTTGATGAAAATTGTTCAAAACATGATGTTCTTGTTGTTCAATAGTAAAGTATCTCAATCAAAATTATTATATAAGTTTGTGTTATTAGTAAATGCCATTCGCCATTCGGAATATTCTAAGTAAATACTGTTGGGGATATATGTATCATTTTCCACTTCGGAAAATATCTCTCAAAACAAGATTTTTTTAATTAGAACCTAACAAGGTGTTTTTAATTGATTCTTGCAGGTTGATTGTTAAACTCCTACATTTGGCATATTTGAGAATCTGGGATATTTTTAATTCAAACTTTGAATCAGGTTCTACCGTTATTTGCTTTAATTATGTCCATTAGAAAATTTGAATCTGGATATTCTAAAAGAAAACGACATAAAAAGGTTGAACAATTGATTAAATCTCAAGAGGGAGCCCTTGATAAATTTTTTAGTATTAGTACACAAAAACATAATGACGATGTAGTTCCCGAAGAAGAGTTTAATAATAATGATATTGGTGATAATACAACTGAAAAACATCATTGTTTGGTGAATAAAGAGATATCTATCGAGGATGATGTTATCGATGAAAGAAACATTAATGAAAAGATTAGTGAACCATTCTCCTTTGACATTAGTGATCTAGTGAATTGGGAAAATATGAATCAGAATTTAAGAGATTTAATCGTAATGAAAGGTCCAGTAAGAGATGATGATGTAATTTTTACAAAAGATGTAGCTAATCGACACTTCTCCTCTATTCATTACACTCGACGATTACGCAATGGAGAGAATCATGATAGAAAATGGTTGATATATTCAAAAAGTCTGGATAAAATATTTTGTTTGTGCTGTAAACTATTCAAGAATGATGGCGTTCAAACTCAATTGGCACATGATGGTGCAAATGATTGGAAAATAATTGGTGAAAAACTAAGAACACATGAAGTGAGTTATGACCATATCACTAACATGAGTAGATGGATCGAAATGGAAATAAGATTTCAAAAGAAACAAACAATTGATAAAAGTGTGCAGGAACAAATCAATAAGGATAGAGAACATTGGAGACAAGTATTATTGAGAATAATATCTGTGGTTAAAACTCTTGTAGAAAATAATTTAGCATTTCGTGGAGATAATGAGAAGATATACCAAGAAAATAATGGTATCTTCTTAAGCTTAATTCAAATGATTGCTGAGTTTGATCTTGTAATGCAAGAGCATATTCGTCGAATTCAAAATAAAGAAATTCATTATCATTATCTTGGACACAAAATTCAGAATGAGTTGATACTTATGCTAGCAGGTGAGATCAAGAAAATAATCATCGAGAAACTCAAAGAATCCAAGTACTTTTCTATGATACTTGATTGCAATCCAGATTTGAGTCACGAAGAACAAATGTCTAAAGTATTGAGGTGTGTTGATATTTCAGCAAATCCAGTGAAGGTAGAAGAATTTTTTTTAGGATTTTTAGTGGTGGATGATACATCTGGAAAGGGACTTTTTGATGAATTAGTGAATGCGTTGAATAATCTAGAACTTGATATCGATAATATAAGGGCTCAAGGATATGATAATGGTGCTAACATGAGAGGAAAACATAAAAGGGTACAGAATAGACTACTACAAGTAAATCCTGGAGCATTTTACACTCCTTGTGGATGTCATAGTCTCAATCTTGTACTTTGTGATATGGCTACTTGTTGTACAAAAGCTAAATCTTTCTTTGGACTAGTGCAACATATATACACTCTATTTTCATCATCTACTAAAAGATGAAATTTTTTTAAAGATAATGTAAATGGCCTTACTCTTAAGCCTTTGTCTCAAACACGTTGGGAAAGTCATATTGAAAGTATTAGAGCAATAAGATTTCAAACTCCACAAATAAGAAATGTTCTACTTGAATTGGCAAGAGTTGATGATCCTAAGACAAAAAGTGAGGCGGATTGTTTGGCAACATGTGAAATAGAGATTTTTGAATTCTTACTTGGGATAGTTATTTGGTATGAAGTGTTGAATAATGTTAATAGAGTAAGCAAACATTTGCAAACAGAGGACATCCATATTGATGTTCCTATAAACCATCTAAAATGGTTCATTTCATTTTTCAAAAGCTATAGAGAAACTAGGTTTGAATCGATCGTGATTGATGCTAAAGAGATTGCAAGTAAATTAGACATTGAACCGATATTTCGTGAAAAAAGAGTTATACGTAGAAAGAAGCAGTTTGATGAGATTTCTTGTGAAGAGATGAGATGACAGAAACAATCGAAAAATCTTTCAGGGTCAATTATTTCTTATATGTAGTAGATCAAGCTCTATCATCGTTTCAAAATAGATTTGAACAATATCAGGAATATGATGATATTTTTGGATTTTCATTTGATTTGAAAAAACTTAAATCCATTGATGATGCTACATTGAAGTGTCGTTGCATTAATCTTGAAAATTATTTGAAGCATAACACAGTATCTGATATCGATGGAATGTAATTATTTTTTGAGTTGAAAATTTTAAGGGAAGCAATATCCAGAGAAATTAATGGAGTAGCTGGTGTGTTAGATTACATCAAAAGAATGAATTGTTGTTTTGCAAGTGCTTGGGTCGCTTACAGGATATTATTGACTATCCCAGTCACTCTTGCGTCGGCTGAAAGAAGTTTTTCAAAATTAAAATTGATTAAGTCTTATCTTCGATCAACTATGTCACAAGAGAGGTTGAATGAATTAGTTATGATTTCTATTGAAAAAAAATGTTGGAAAAAGTTGATTTGAATTGTTTGATTACTAATTTTGCATCTCAAAACGTGAGAAGACTAAATATGATGCTAGCCTAATCTCTCGGATTGTAAGTGATATTTTATTTAGCAATTTCATCTTTTAGATTGTACAAAGTTTTCATTTGGGTAATTAGAACAAAACGTGCCTACCTTTCATGATTTTTGTGGAAAACGTCCATACCTTTCAATTTTTTGCGCATTTTATCCCTACCTTTACTTTTTCTTGTGCAAGACATCTTTTTCATCATTTTCTCAATAAAAAGCTATAAAATGATTAATATACCATTCTATTTAAATAAAAATAAATAAAGAACTAAATGCAATCGTAGTTCCAAATAAAAAAAAAAATAAATTCTCCACCTCCACCTCCTCTTTTGAACTTTTTTTTTAAATATTGGAACTATGATTGCAATTAGTTCTTTATTTTTTTTATTTAAATAGAAGGGTATATTAGTCATTTTAAAACCTTTTATTGAGAAAAATGGTGAAAAGGATGTCTTCCACAAGAAAAGGTAAATGTAGGGATGAAATGCGCCAAAAAAGGAAAGGTAGTGATGTTTTTCACAAAAATAATGAAAGGTAGAGACGTTTTGTGCTAATATATTTTTTTTATTTAAATATTGTTATACGTGTAGAAAAATAAAGTATGGGGCCTCAAGATTACCGACTCGCTTAGGGCCTCCGAATTGTGAGGACCCGTTCTGCGTGCGTATGATAATTTATTTCATAAAATTTATAGAACTTATTTGTTAACACGTGAGGGACAATAAAATTATGAGGTGACAAGATTTACCACTATAGTCCTTCCCTTCTCAACCATAGTTACCATTAAATCTTTTTAATTGAACCAATTTGTTGGCCTCGAGCCCTCGATCTGTGTTGGGTGGATACCCAACAAAATTTAATTGAGAAGAATCAAAGGAACAATAGAAGGAAAGTCTAGTCCAACATTTCATGCTTTTCAACTACAATGGTACTGGATCCTGGAACTTCATATACAAATGTAGGAATAGCTCCCTCCGGTGAGACTCAAGAAGGGTTTCTCTTTCATCCCTTGATGAGTTGATCTTTTTGTTTGCATGCTTTCAGTGGGCTTCCTTTGACAGATCTATACATAGGTGCAGAACAAAAGATTAGAAGAAGCTTTGGAAAAAAAAAATCGATCATTTTTAATAGGATACACAATAATTTGGAAAAGAATCTCTTAGGAACAACTTTGTATGCAAAGTCTAATTTTGATGACTAGACTAGATGTAAGGATAGCTAGTCCCATTAAGCGAGCTTGGTTTGGCTCATTGACCAATGGGGTAGGCACTACTCGATCTTGGGTTGGCTCACGAAGTCTATGAGTTGTAGGGGCCAAGCTAAGTTTGCCTCGTCTTATCGAGCTCTTGAGAAATGAGGCAAGTTGAGTTTACTGTTACCTTAATTAGAATTTCAAAATTTAGATCACATATGTGATTGTGATAATGCATTTTTTTTAGTGATGCTATTTAGTCCTACTAGAGTTAAAACCACAGTCTTGATGGCATTAATGTGGTATTAAATGATTGGTAGAATTAAATAAATCATTTAATTTTACCTTTTATTTATCCTATTATCTAGCGTCACTTAAATTGGGATTGTAACCCCACTCAGATTACATAGCATTATTATTTTTCTTTAGCCCCATCATGCATGTGTGACGGAAGTTTGGGTAGGTGTGAGAGTGTTTAGAGAAGAGGAATGGTGGATAGTCTCCTCTAGGATCGAGCCACCAATAAACATAGGAAAAATTGCAACCAAGGTATCAAACATTTCGTTTATTAGCATACTTTGTCCAAACCTTTCATTTGTACCATCAGAAATACCAAACCTTTAAAAAATTCGCAGGTCTAGTTCAAAATGACGATTTTCGTCTGTTTGACTACCAAAACTGTCAGTTGACCCCATAAATGACAATTTTAATTATTTTTCCCAAATACAGCAAGAACATTTTTGACATAATTAATTTCCTCTATTAAATTTAAAATTAAAAAAGCAATAAAGAAAATCACAACCCGCTATCCCAACTCCTTCTTCCCCAACCCCGTCTCCCCAAAACCAAACCTCATTCTTCCTCAAGATCGGCCGCAATGCTGGCTCAAAATCAAAGACCGCCACCACTTTAAACTAAGAATAATACCTCTACTGATCGTAGAAGGAAAGACCAGCGATGGTGGAGGTGGAAAGACAAGCACAACAACGCGTAGCATCTGGCAAAAACCTCTTCGATTCCGCCTTTTGTACAGCTTCATCAACCCTATCTGACAACAAAATTGGGTATAGCAAAACCTCTTTGATTTGATTTTCTTGTTCGATTGCTATATGATTTTAGGCCTGATTATTCTGAGAAAGTATTTCTGGTGGTGGTCTTGTCGCCATATATCAATTGAATTCAATTGGTGAAAATTTGATTGACTTGCACGTAAAAATTTAGAAAAATTGTGGAGGATTCCATCAAGGAATTGATGGAATAAAAGGGTGAACTTTCCGATATGGATGTGTTAGTGTTTGAGAAAATGGTTGGGGGTGGGAAAAGGAAAGTGGTCTTATCTGGCATTGGGAGTTATTTTCCCTTGCTTGAGGGAGCTGTTGGTTTTAGCTGGTGGTGATGCTTGGTTTTAAGGTAGCGTTGGGACCAACTTTAAGGTGGTGGTGCCAGATGTGGCTTCTGATGGAGGTGGTTTTGAGCTATTGTTTTTGTTTTGGGGTAAGGGGTTTGGGGAAGAAGGAGATGGGGTGGGGGGTTATGATTTTGCTTTTTGCCTTTTTAATTTTTAATTTAATAGGGAAAATGAGTTATGTCTAAAGTGCCATTGACTTATTTGGGGAAAATAATCAAATTTTTAATTTTTGGGGTCACTGACGGAAATCATGATTTTGGACTTGAGTTGCGAATTTTTTCAAGATTTGGTATCTTCGGTGGCACAAATGAAAGGTGGCCAAAGTCTGCTAATAAACAATACCTTGACTGTAATTTTCCCAATAAACATACGCTTAACTATAGAAAAAAATATTATTTAAGATCTGAAAAATTAAAATAAAATGTAGGACATTCTTTTCAATAAGTGAAGATTGCAACTAAATCCATTGTTGACAAGCCCATTCATTAGGTTAATTTAATCAATGGACATTGAACTTTGCCTATAGGTTACTAATTTCTCACCGAAATTTAAAAGATTACTCTTTGCTCAGTAAACTTTGCTATATGTTACTATTTGCTCACTAAAATTTAAAAGATTACTTACACTCACCCAAATTTGAACAAGTTACCCATCAATCACCTATATCATTTCTATAAGTGTTACCTATTGCAAAGTTTAATGAGCAACGAGTAAATTTATTCAAATTTTTATAACGAATGTATAACTTTTTAAATTTCAACGAGTAAGTATTAAGTAGTAAATTATAGCAAAGTTGAGTGAGTAATGAGTAACTTTTCAAAAATTAGTAAGCAAGTAATAACCTATAGTAAATTGAGTGATCAATTATTCTGTTTGTCATCCTTTAAAAATTTAAATTGTTTGTTACATGATCATTTTTCACCACATATTTACACAATAAAATATTTTGTACAAAAGTTAATAAAGTTTCCTTACTTTTTAACCACACATTCTTAAAAAAATACTATTTAATAACTCATTATTCCGAAATAAATTCTATCGAGCAGTCCCTAAATTATCTTCCCATTTATTCTTATAATAATTATTATTATCCCTATTATATAAAAAGGAGAATGTAAAGTTACTGTAGAAATCAATAATGATTTGTTCCATTTTGTCTCACTGTAGTATTTTTTTTAAGTGGGGGAGCAAAAACGACGTCGTTTGTCTTTACTTGATATATGTATTTTATTATGCAGTAAAAAAAAAGACAATATAAATTTACTGCAACACGCAACTTTCCATACCTCCCACCATTAACTTAAAATTTAAAGTAATATATAGATATATTTAATTTTTAAAATTAAATATTAATAAAAAGATTACTATAAAATTAAATATCATTTGGAATTATTAAAAAATAAAAATACTAATAATAAGACAAAAAATATTTCTAAAATGTAAAATGTTACTTGTAAGTAAAAAAAATTGAAGAGAAAAGAATTAAAAAGAATTTTAAATTGAAAAAAAAAATTATTTATAATGTAGACAACATAAATATAAATAAAAAAAATCTCTCCGTACACGGAGGCTTAAAGTCTCTGTGCATGGAGACAATGGAGATATATATATATACTTATTATTTTTTTTCAATTTAAATTTCTTTTTAATTCTTTTCTCTTCGTGATAAAACTTAATTTTTCAATTTTAACTAAATAATATTTATATATTCTTTATTTAATTTTCGTAACTTTCTTTTATTTTGTTTTTATTATATTATTTTGGAAATTATTTTAAAATTTCTTTTTTCTTTATATTATAGCTGTAGAAATCAACATTGACTTGTTCCATTTTGTCTTATTGTAGCTTTTTTTTTTCAAGTGAGGGGGAGCAAAAACGACGTCGTTTGTCTTTACTTAATATATATATTTTATTATACAGTAAAAAAAAAAGGCAATCTAAATTTATTACAACACACAACTTTCCAACTTTCTTTTATTTTGTTTTTATTATATTTTTTCTGGAAATTGTTTTATATTTTCTTTTTTCTTCATATTATAAATATTTTTTTCGATTTAAAATTCTTTTTAATTCTTTTCGTTTAAAACGTAATTTTTTCAATTTTAATTATATAATATTTATTTTTACTTTTAATTATTTCAATTTAATTTAAGAACTTTATAATAACTTTTTTTTTGTTTCTTTTTACTTTTGCCTATAATATTTTTTTGTTTTATTTGTTAAATCATTCAATTTCTTTTCTTTATCTGTTGGATTGGATGAAGTGAAGCAGTGTGTGACAATGGAGAAATAGTGCAGTCAAGGTGACCGTGCACGAAGTATCGTTTACAAATATGAATATATCAAATTCCTCACCGACCCAATTGGCCTTCATTTCTCTCCGCCACTAATTTTAACAAATAGTTATATAACCCTTGTTTGAACCCCATTTCTTTGTGAAGAATGAATTTTTGAATAGTGTATTGATAGAAAATGTGTGGTTAAAAAATAAGGAAAAGATTTGGATTTGCATGTAATATTATTTTATTGAAAAATGTGTGGTTGGAATAATGTCAAAACACTACTGAAAAATGAATTTTTCCAAAAGAATGGGGCTCAAACAAGGGCATAAACCAAAATCAAATATCATACAACGTAATGTAAAATACCAAAAAAACTACTCAAAGTTAGTAAATATCTCATATGATTCATAGTCATACGGCCCATGCCAGAAAATTCAAATACCATATTGCAATTTTTAATTTAGTAGGTTATAATCAAATAGCACATAGATTACAATTCTCAAAAGTTAGATAAAACACAAGTATTTTTTTTCAATTTCAAGTGTTAATTTCCGATCTTAGCCAAGATAACGTTCGTTGAATATTTTGAATTTTGATTTGATTGGGTCTTTCTCTCGTATTGACATTTTAAAAAAAAAATAAAAAATTATTAGTAGTTTTAAATCACAATGTCCCACCTTTTTTTTACGTCACTATCCATGTAGCTTAGAAGTGTTTGTAAAAACGAGTGATGTTGGATTTATCGTTTCCTCAAATTTATTTCAGATCATATGAAACTTTAGGAATAAGAATTAAGGATCTAAATCATGCGCAATAGGACAAAAAATTAAGGATCCAAATCACGCGCAATAGGGAAAACCTGTGATTGTTCTTGTATTATCATTAATTAATTTCTCCAAATAGTTTTCGTCGAAAAAATTTATTACACATTTCATTCAAGATGAGTAGATAATTATGCCAAAGCATTGATACTATTGGTAAAGTGGTAAACCTTTGGAAGTATGTGAGAAACAATGTTATCATATAGATGTATCGTGAAAATATTTATAAATTTACATGAAAATTCACGTGAGAAACAATTTTATCTTATAGATGGATCGTGAAAATATTTATAAATTAACATAATATTCATAGTAGTGTTGGTGCTAAAATCAAATTATTGTTCTGACTTTCGAGTTCCAACATCATGCACTCCGGTGGTTATTGTTCCATGGGTAAAGAGTTGCACCAGTATTGATAATTTTTGGATAATATAAATTCTACATATTTCAAACTAACAATAACATAATAAATACAATATTCGTGCAACGCGCCACGCAAACACTAGTTATTTTAATAATAGTTTAAGGGACAAATCATCTGTAGCCCATTTATCTACCCTGTTTCCATCTTCGGCCATCAATGGATTCCTGAATCTTGATTCGAATTAGCCGTTTGCAGTTCTCCGACAAGAATTCACAAAACAACATTAATCCTATTTCGACAAAATCAGAGCACTGTGAACCCGAGAAAAACATTCACAAGAAAGAAAAGTATCAGAGCTCCATCATATAATGATGCACCACCATCACCATCCACCGCCCATCACGACCACCACCGGCGCTGCCATTACTACCCCTTACATTCTATTAGCGACAACCCTTTTCTTCTTTCTCCTCGTACTCTCCTTCACTACTTCTCCTTCCCTTCCACATCTCCGCACCCAACCCCACGCATCCCTCTTCCCCCCCCACCACCGCTTCCTTTTCCACAACCCCAACACCACCCAAAACCGAAACACCCCTTCAGCTGCACCGCGGCTCCCTCCAACCCCTCCCTCCATAGCATACCTCTTATCAGGGTCCGCCAATGATTCGGATCGGATCATCCGACTCCTCTACTCTATCTACCATCCCAGGAACCACTACTTGCTCAACCTGGACCGGGCAGCTCCTCAGGCCGACCGTGATACCCTGGCCCTCAGAGTTCAATCAATACCCCTCTTCAGAGCTGCTCAGAATGTACAAGTAATTGGCAAGGCTGACTATGTGTTCCCTGTTGGTCCTTCATCTGTTTCCTCCACACTTCACGGCGCGTCCATTCTGCTCCGTGTTGCGGCAGATTGGGATTGGTTTATTAATCTCTCGGCAAATGATTACCCTCTTGTTACCCAAGATGGTATCTTCATATCTGTATTTTCTTATGCCTATTTTTGGAGATTTTTACATGTATCAGTTATTTGGATGCTGTGATTTCTATTACATTATTTCATAATGGTTTCTATAATTCTTTTTTCTGTGTGTTTGTTGAGTATTTAAAATGTGTTTGTGCGTGTATAAAAATGCGACTTTCTCTTCTGCGCATTTTTGATGTATATAGTTGGAGTTGGTTTATTGATGTCTTTGCTCCTTATCCCACTTCTTAGTCAAGATGGTAGCCTTATATATACGTTTATGCATATATTGTGCTTGAGGGGAGAAAGAGAGCAATCTGATTGGAAATTTGTCAATCTCATAATGTTTCTATATATTAAGTTGAGGTTTTTGACGAGTTTTCCATTGCTTGTTTCTCAAAAGAGCATCTTTTAACTCTTTATTCTATGTGTGTGTTTTAAGTTTATTCGAGCGTTTTTTCTTGATATCTGTGTTTTGTAAATGCTAGTTGTATATGCATTCTTGTTTTGGAATAGATTTAGCAATGTAGTTACTGTTGAAGCTCGAAATCCCAATTACACATTGCTGAGCACGATGCATATGTAGTTATTGATATGCTCTAGCATATGTGCACGTGTGAATGTTTGTTAGTACCTGTAATAAATAGATCGATAATAATTTTCCCGAATTAATATCATCGAGTATATTGACATGGGGATTTTGTTGCTTTTCAGATCTTTTACACATTTTGTCATATCTGCCCAAGGATCTTAATTTTGTGAATCACTCAAGCTATATTGGATGGAGAGAGTATGAACTTCCATTTTTTCTCATTTATATTCTCTTATATATGCTGATATGGAAAGAGCTAACGAGGAGCAATCTTGTCATGAACTTATGTAATAATATAAGTTTATTTTGTTTGTTGATTTTAGATCTCGGAAACTGAAACCAATAATAGTTGATCCAGCACTCTACCTTGCTGAAAATAGTGAGATGTTTTATGCAACTGAAAAGAGACAGCTGCCTGATGCTTTCCGGTTATTTACAGGTCAGTTCTACAGTACATTTATTTGTTTTCTTTAGGAATGCTAGTGGGCACTGGGCAGTTAAATATTTTGAAGCCTTATGGATGTATAAACCGAATTCATAGAAAGATAGGTGTTGCTCCAGGCTTCTCTTGGCGAAATAGCTGAAAGTGATATTAAACTGCCACAGCACTTTTATTGTTTTCTGAGAAAATTTAAGTACGAATACACTCTAAAAAATGTTAGGTAGTGTGATGGAAAACTGTCTTAGAGCGTATTTTTTAATTTATAGTGAAATCGTGGCATTATTTACTCTGTTTCGTGTTATTATCGCTCTCATGATACATGATTAGCAATTAATCCATACAGCTGTGAATGATGAATACAGAAAGACTGTTTGGCACACATAATTTCTTCAGATTCTGGGAAAATAACAAAGATAATAGCGTCTTTAATGCTAATGAACTCTGTGCCTGTTTGGAACTAAGTAATGTACATGACTCAACATTATGATGAACGAGATTTTCGTTTCTTTTTTTTCCATAATAGTTTTGAGTGCTATCTATTCCTCCCTACCAAACTTGCCATCAAAGTTTTTGACACAATAATGTATTCATTCAGAGTTGTTTAGTTAGAGAAATAATTATTCAACGTGAAGCTTCAACAGAGCTTGATTGAAGTCCTGAAATAACATGATTGATTAGTCAGGTTTTTGTTGGGAGGAAGAGCCTAGCAATTCCTTGGTTGTTAATTAGTATTCGTCTCCATCCTGATCATCATCTAGCCGCTAATCCGATACCCATCCTACTTCATATCGTGCCAAAATAGTATATTTCCATATGATCCATGCAATTTCTAGTAGTATACTAGACAAATTAGAGGTGTTGCCACAATAGACAATTTCTATATACTTGCTAGCTTTACCTTTTTTCCAAAAAAATAAAAAACGTGTATAAATACTTTAAATTTAACCGGAATGACCAGGAAAAATGCAGCAAGCTTAGTGCATTGGAAATATTTTGTTCAAAGCGTATTTCTAGTCAGACCTGCCCAACCCGACTATGAGAACTAAACCTGATAAAAGCATCCTTCTCTTTTTGGCATAGCATTCCACTAGCACAGAAGGGAATTTTCTCTACTGATATGATAAGGCATCGAATTAGACCATTGGGAATCTCCATAGGAACTAGTCTCTTAGATTTCACACTTGTCATTGAGTAAAGCCACAGGGCCATGGGACAGATGTAGATAAAAAATTGCCCTATATAAAATACTATATGGATGGTCATTACAAGCCCGTATATTTCTTCATTCCATTCATTTTCCATAACATCCATAGCAGAACCAATGAGGTTTACTGCTTTTACATTTAAGCAGGGCTTGATTTGTAGTTCTAGACATAGATAGATATATAATTAATAACAACATCCTGAAAGCGAAGATTGTAAAAGTATCGGTAGTTGTACGGCCAATCCACACAAATAATGTTAGAAAAATTGCACCGAAAGATCAAATATTCCGAGATGCGTTTTAGACAAGTGCATCTTTGAAGGTAGTCTCCTATGACAGTTGCAAAACTAGTAAACTCGCTAAGTTTTAGTATTTTGTGCTTATATTAGTTTTTCTTTTGTATCCTTGTTCTGTGTAATGGGAAAAAAGAAGAGTTGATCGAGTTTTGATACAAAAAGTTGTATGGTATTGATGAAGCCTTTAGCTGGGAGAGAAATATATATATATATATATATATATATATATATATATATATATATATATATATATATATCTGTTTATTTTTTTTT